ACACACCCTCCGACATCACTATTTTTCACTCTCAAGGTTGTTGGTAAGGATTATTCTTTTTGTCTTATTTTTCGTCAAACCGCCTTTCTTTAATCTCTTGTTTGCGCTAAATCCCCCCTTTTTCCTCGTGTGATGTGTCCTGTATTTCAACATCTCGTCTTTTTTTTTTCAATCTGTTGGTTTGCGCTTAAACTGCGTTTCCTTAGATTTTTACAATGTATGGTTATTTGCACTTCTATTCTCAATATCCGATGTTAATCATTATTTTTATGTTTCTTATTTTCCTATTTTTAGTTCCGCAAGGTTATCCTCACATTCACTTTTGACATCCGGAGGCTATAAATCGGACACTAGAACTCCCACACCTACGCGCACACGCACACGGATATGCACACGTGCGGGCTCGCCCACACACACACACACACACACACATACTAGGTTATTTACAATTGATCTTTATTTGGTTGCTTCCTTGTCTATTTTCTTTTTTTTTATCTCCTTCTTTCCCCTTTCCCGCCGCCGTGCCCCCGCCCCTCACCGCCCCCGCTCCCTTGCAGAGGCCCGCGCCGTGATCCAGGGCGCCCCCGAGGTGCACGTGCAGACCGGCGTGCGTCTGCGGCTCCACTGCTCCGTGGAACAGGCCACCGAACCGCCCATCTACATCTTCTGGTTCCACAACGGCAGCATGATCAACTACGCCCCCAGACGCCCCCTCAAGGTCATGAAGCACAACTTCGGCAGTTCTCTCATCATCTCCAACGTGACCTGGGACGACGCCGGGTCCTACCGCTGCGAACCCCACATGGCTGAGCCGGCGAACCTCACGCTGCACGTCGTGGCAGGCAAGTGGCGATGCGGCGGGAGTCCCTTCTGCCAAAATGAAATCATGAGTAAAAAAATATGTCTGTAAACTATCAAGGATTAGCAACTGTAAACTATTATGGATTAAGTCTTTCCTGTAGTATCACTCTCCTTTCTTTTCTTTTTATTGTTGATAATCTAATTGATATTATTCCTCCTTATTATTAGACATTACCGTCATTAAATACTCATCCATACCATCCCCACCACAATTATTCTCATTCCAAGACTCACCAACAACGCCCACACGACGCGCTACAGTACCCGAAGCCTCACACACACGATATCCCCACACACCCCACCCCCACCCCCACCCCCACCCCCACCCCCCACCCCCCCCACCGTCTGATTGCAATGGCCTCCCCCCCCCCCTTCGTAGCGTCCATTAAATCCGTCATGCAAATTCTGCCGATCCATTAAGGCTAGAACCAACGCGTTTCCAGCCGACAATAACAGCAGTCTGCGTTTCTTCCCCAAAGACCTATTTTCCGGGTTAGCAGAGCATGGTAGTTCACCTATTGAGTTTACGTTATTTATGGGGAGTAACTTTTGTTTCTTTGTGATTTACCGAAGACCTAGAGATTATTAATTCAATGGGTGCTTTTTTATGACACTGTAGAGGTTCTCGTGATTTTATTTAGTTTAATTCAGTGGGTGTTTTTTTTTATAACACTGTAGAGATTCTCAAGATTTTATTTAGTTTATCAATTTGCTTCAGAGATTAACAGTTCTATAAATAAACGGTTGCAGTTATTGGGTTGAGGGTCGATCCGCGGATTTTCTCTTCAAGCGCCATTTTGGGATCCCAGAACTGACCCGAAAAAATAATAATCCTAAGAAAATTCAGATTTGGTTGCAATATGTTCAATTGTTAATCGTCTCCAGTGTAAGAAATTCAGACACGTTCAGTTATAACAGTTTTAGTTATTATTACCCAGGGTTGGGAAATTCGTTGTTCTAAAACTATTTAAAATTCTGTGCAAGTTGCAATCGCTGTACACAATTACCTTGCGTTGTATTCAGATTTCAGATTTCCTCGAAAGTCGTTACATTTTTTTCAACACGAACGAGTTAAAATTTAAATCCCAGTTTAAAGTTTGCAAGGCAGCAAAAAACAACGTATTTTATTTTAGGCTAAAACGGGAAAATGCCTTCCTATCTCTCGGGCGATGCGGTGGGCTAACTGCACGCTAGGCAACACTGACACGTATCTCCCACAGAAAATAAAAGTAAAATAAAGATAAAAAGTAATGGATAATTAAAGCAAAGAAAAAAACAAAATATGATAAGACCGACTTAAAACACCCAGCCACACACACACACACACAAACACACACACACACACACACACACACACACACACACCACACACACACACACGCATTATATACACACTGTTAAGCATCGAAGAAAATCGAGAACTCTCCTCATACGAAAGTTTACCACATCAACCAGTTCCTCTCAAAAACGTGTTTCTGTCTCGCCACAGGAGAGAAGCACGCCGCCCTGCACAACGGCCAGAATGACGTCACCGGCGAGGAGACTGTTCCCACCTCAGGCTCCGCCCACCTCTTCAATGCGCCGCTGCTGATTGGCTACTTGACATTGATACTTGGCAATTACTGCTTCCAAACGCTTA